ACTGACTAATAAGTGGCATGTTGTAAATGCGAGAGAAAGAAATAAGGATTGTACAGATCAAAATCAACCCGCTATGCAGGTTGGAAATGGTTTTAAAAGTTACCATTTTTATAAAATGATCAAAAGTAAATTGATATTATAAAAGTATCTCCTTCAACGACCACAAATTTTTATCAAACAAATTGCATAACATACACAATGCCGGTACAGTAAATTGTTTTGAAATCGGCGCCGTCCCGTAAGGGATAATAATGTTCGATTGCGCAAGAATGTCGACAAACCACGTCTTTCTCATAATGATCAGGACCGAATTTAGAAATTTGGCGCCCTGGGGCACTGACGAAAATGCCGCTCCATTTATTATGTCTCTTTTTTTAAATTAAATTATTTTATTGCAAAAAAATTATCAAGCATTACATACTTGTTCTGTGTATAGATAGATTTTTTTTCAAAATTTCTAAATTTTACCGCCTCAGAAAATTTGCGGCCCTGGGCACTAGCCCCGACTGCCCCTACTGTAAATCCAGCAATGATAATGATAGTAACAAATTTAAAATGGCCCAAAAATCCGAACTGGTTTACGTTATGCAATATTGAAATGGAATTTTTTGAATCCTCAGACGATGCTAATTTTTAGTATTATTTCTACTAATGACATCAGAATCAGAAGGCTATTCAATATATATCTGTAATATCTGAGACATTATATAGTTCTAAACGATATTGGAAGGCAACCCTACAGTTTACCCTTTTAATTGTTATATTGCAGTAGTTTTTCAAAAAACTATTTTCACTTAGAGATTTGGAAACATATTCGGATGAATATTTTCAAAAAAACAATGATATGACTACTAATATCAGGAAATCCAAAACGCTTCGATTTCGAAGCCAAGCGCTAACCCCAGCGCTACGAACCGCCAATAAAACAGAAACTTTGCAAATTTGTTAAAATGATATGGCATTGAACAAATAATTTGGCATTATTAAGTAATAATGGCTGAATTTCTAGAGTTTATATAGTCAAATATTCAATGAAAAAGATCTTATTATAATCGGCAAAATTGAAAATTGAAAAAATCCAGAATCCAGGATCAAAATTATGAAAAATAATACCTAATTTAATAGTTTCTATATTTATGACTGTCTAGTTTTAGTTTTTGTTTAGTTTTGTCATTGAGAATTAAGGAATACCCGACTACATCTTTCCAAAGCTGAGCTATTGAATACTTCATTTACCATTGAATGAAAAAAGTTTTAGAAAAAAAGTGAAAATTCATAATTGTTTTAACATATTAACATATGTTAATGTCATAACATATCCTTATGACATAAAATTTACTAAATTTTATTGCAAGCCGTATTAGCATAATGAGAACCTCGATTAACAAATCTTTTTCATCTGGTATATTTTTTTTATAAATGCATATTTATTAAACATCAGCTAAAGCAATTACGTAAAACTTATTTTTTTAAATCTAATAGCATACAAAGAATAATTTTCAGTTTAAAATTAAAATAAATTTGTTATAAAACAAATTATATCACTAAAGATAAGAAAAATCTACCAAAAATAATATTTTACATATTAAATTAATTTAATCAGCAAAGAACAATAATACCGTACATTAAATAAAGTTAATATTAGTATTGTTTTTTGCTGATTTTTCTCATGTTAATTGATTATAATTTGCTTTGTAACAAATTCAATTCAATTTTAAACAAAAAAAATTATTTGCTATAGTAATAACTAATAAAGTTAATACATAATTAATAACTTTATATCTCGTTCAGATTTTACATAATATTTGAAAGACAGGTCCAAACTTATTCAATAAATTATATTCTAAAATAAATAATGGCGTTTTTTACAACCTTTCATCAATATTTATAAATTTTCATCTTTTTTGCTGATTTTTCTCATCTTTAATGATTTAATTCGCTTTAGTAATTAAATTTAATTTAATTTCAGACCAAAAAATTATGTATGCTCTATTAATAACTAATAAAGTTAATAAATAATTAACAAGTGTTAATATCTTGTAGCCTGATGTATTAGATTTTTCACATTATTTGAAAGAAGTCTTTCTTTCTGAAATTGTTGAATAAATTATGTATTCTAAAATAACTAATGGTGTTTTACTACCTTTTAAATCAATATTTAAACATTAGTAGTCAAAGAATTGATAAATTAAAAGAAGCATGTGTATCCAAGTTTTATCTGATAAATAATTATATAATGTTAATAATCCGAAATAAACTCCTAATAGATTCTCCGCTATCAAATAAAAAAATATGAAATTTGTTTTCATAATCTCTCATACCGGACACCCCTGCCATTATATGAAAATAATATATAAAAAAAATATAAACATTTTGTTGTCGTTCTTTTTATATTGTTAATAATCCCTGTTCATTGTTTTATCTAACAGATTGCAGAATAAATTAAATTAATAAAATAATAATAATCCGATATATACTAGCGACGGAGTTCTATGGGAGTTCTATTCAATTTTGGTAATGTTACAGTGCACATTGCTAAACTTAATTATTAGCTTAATTCATTAGTAGTTAACTATCAAATTAATAAATTATTTTTTATAAATATTTTTTATATTTAATAACAATTAATAACAATTTATTAAAATTTACCTTATAAATTATATCGGCAAAACTATCCAAATCTTTCCTGATCAAGCGAATACAACACTGTACACAACTCACTTCAATTACAATCAGCACTTGCGACAAAATTGTTGATATCAAAATCACTATTATTTGATACGAAAACCAAGTTAAATCACTTAAAATCTTATAAGTCACAATGGAATATTACAATTACAATAGCACATATTTAACTATTTCCTTCCAATAAGGAATTCTTGTTAATAATTACTTCACGATATAACACTTACCGGAGGAACACACGAGGACGTAAATCGCTCACCGTATATCGGTTACCGCAGCCGAGTTCCGCACGGTTCGGCTTTTGCAATCAGACTGGCTGGCAGGACGAGGGGTCGGAACGCAAAACCGAAAATCTACGAACTCGGATCTCCACTCGTACGAAGGGCGGCGAATGACTTGGGGATTGGGGATTACAGTTGTGGATGGAACCTGGCGCGCCCCCTGTGAATAAAATCAGTAAAAGTCATCAAGGCTTTGATACTGGCTATGACAGTAAGATAAATAGATATTTTTGTATGAAAATTGAATCAACTTCCTGTACATGGCGATAATAACCTTTGTTTGCTTTTATTTTGAAGCATATATCACATCAACTTCAAGAAGACTGAAGAAGAAGCTGCCCGAAGATAATATGGAGGAACCTTAGAACTACCACAACCTTATATGAACAGAATAATTGAATCATTTATTGAAGTGATTCTCTAAATATGATTGTAATATTGATCAGATAAATTTATATGTGTGTTTGCAAGTGTGTGTGAGTGAATGACATAAGCCAAATAGCTCATAGAATAGTCATGTACTCTGATTGCTATTGAAAATAAAAATTAAAAAAAAAAAAAAAAAAAAAAAAATATCACATCAAACCTTCAAATATTGTCTGCTTTTAAATTTTTCTTGGTTTTCTACAATAAATAGCAGCATGTACTCCTTTTGCAAAATATGCTCAAGCCAGTTGTATCATGGTTTGTAGATGCTGTCCAACAAAGGATTTCCCATGCTTCTTGAATATTTTCCATCAGTTTATCCATTGTTGTCTATCTTCGCTTTTTATTAATCAAGACTATAAAGAAAATTTGGTTAATAAATGGTTAATATATAATAGTGAGCACCCTGCTCGAAAGATTCATGTGGTAAATTCCAACACAAATATAGTGGTATTTTCTCGGTTTATATATTTCCTGTATTAATGAGTTAAAAGTTATAAGTTACCACATCAGAGTGTAAAGTATCATTTACTAATATATTTATCATCCCTTAAATCATCTTGTCACCAACTTTAACGTCGTTGGTAGTATATGATATAGAATTTATTTCATTAGAAAATATATTTTACACTCTTGTTCAACGAAAATCTTGCCTCATCTGAGAATGTTAAAACGAATTTATAATTATGTTAGTTTTAGTTATATAAATATCAGTTTTATTAAACAATAAGATGAAATCAGCAATGTAAAAACAGTTATATATAAACAACTTATAAACTTAATATAGGCTATTCATTACGACTTCAAACCTTGCGTTTTATATTTGTTTTAACATAACTTTTATTTATCAAGGTTATAATAAGAAATTTAATCTTAACTATAATATAATCTAAATACAACATCCAAAAAGAGAAGTCAGATTTTAGGAAATCCTCACAGTATGCAGAACTATCAAACGAACCCTACTACTTCAGATAAATGTCACAAGAGGATCTCCCATAAGATCTATCGATATATACAATCGATACCTATATAGTCCAGTCATTTAAGCTTAAATTAGGTAAAAATCTCGAAATTCGATATACCCAGCAGTAAGTCTGTAAATACTTTTACAGACCCCTGTAAATATTTTTACAGACACCCTAAAGTTGTCTCGAAACCTACATATGGTAGGGTGTCAATACCATATGTAGGTTTTGAAACAACTTTAGAGTGTCAATATACAAGTATTTAGAGACTTACAGCTAGGTATCTCGATTTCCAAGTTGCACGTACTATAATGACTGGACTAATAGTAGTGTGTATAAAAAACGCTTTGTGATTAAATATTTTGCCATAGATATAATTCACTAAAAATTTTAATCAAAATAAGCAAATCACTTAGCACACTGTCGGAAATAAATAAAAGTATACAGTAAGTAAATCACATTTTATTACAATAATTATTTATTTCATATTAAATATTTCCATTACACTATTATTAGACAAGTGTACACTAACAATGATGTGTAGTTCAAGTAAAAAAAATGAACTCACATTGGTACATCAAAAAATAAACCTTGTTTAAGTCTCACATATTCATTTGCTAAAACTAAAATATCTCTTGTATGTATTCTATAACAAAAAAATAACATTTTCAAAAGTATTCCCTTAGTATTTATAACTTCTTAAAAGCAAGCTTTGCATCAAATAAAATCACAATTTAATATTTTCTTCTTTCTAAAAATTAAAGAAAAAAAAAGACCTTAAACACAAGAGCAGCTACTTAGCTTTATAAAACTTGTTATTGGTGGGATAATAGTAATATTAAAAATTAACAATTCATTTCATAGCACATTCATTTCATAGTATAATACAACGTAAGTTTATTATTGGTCAAAATGCAGATCAAATGATGGACTTAGATTATATATGCACAAACAGAAACACATTCTTAAAGATTAATTCATGTCAACACAATCATTATCACACATGTTATGTTAATCTAGTGATCTAGATTTGTTCACGCACACAACAAATAATTTATTAACTAAAGAAATAATATTTAATGGTATAGTAGCAAGTGTCTGTGATATAGATATATTTATTTCTCATATTTTATATAGGTATATATAGATTGTTATATGCTATCTAAAACTATATATATTTATATGGAGGTATATAATATGTTATATAAAGATTTTCTTTCTGTTTTTCTTTCAGGAATTGATTAAATATGGGAAATATATTTGAGGATACAAGGAAAATAATGACAGAGGGGAAAGGAATTGATGAATTTATTTCATTTTTTGTAAATCTTTTATCTAGATATGATAAAAATTATTAAATCACAGTCATTAGGACAGATGGAAAGAGTGCTGGCCTTCACTGGCAGCTATTCTGAGCTTAGTTCTCATTACTTCTATCGATGAATACTCAGGAAGTTTCAAATAATTCACACAAGTCATGACAGAAGGCAGATAATCGTCAGGATTCATATTTTGTTCCAGCGTCTTCCTCACAATTGTTAAAGGAGGAGACAAAGCCTTGAAACCTAAAAAAAATATGGAATTAAAAGTATAATAAAATCCTAGTTTATTATTTTATGTTATTTAGATCGAAAGCATTATGTTAATCCAAATATATATATTTTGAACTACTACAGATGATACTGACATAATCATGTTTTCCATAAGACATACAAATTATTGTATTTCATATTTACAAGTGAAATCTAGCTACTCTTTTTTCTTAATATGCGTGCTTAAAATCAATTGTATCATTATTAAATATATAAAAAAATGTATGATATTTTAAGTAAAAGCAAAAATATTTTGGACAAGAATGTTCATAAATTAATCTTAACTATGGAATGCAATACCGGTATACCGGTATACCGAATTACCGGTAAACCGCCCGATTTTTTGGCGGTAACTTTACCGGTATTTATTCCAAAAATACCGGTATTTTCGGTATTTTTACATAAGCGCTATTTGATACATAATACCCTAAAGTTTAAATATTCTCGGAACAAATTTATCTTTAAATTCCATAATCGCATGGACAGCTATATCTTCAAGTAATTCTATATGATAAACAAATGTCAAATATTATCTCAACTCGTCATTAAACTGAATATTTATTGCTTTCAAAGGGCTTCATATCGTGATGCAATAAATAGAATTGGACTGATAGATAATGATGTTTTTTTCATCTTTTGTGAAAATGTAACGGTTTTTTAAGTGATATTTGCCCGAAAATATTTTATATCATACAGATTAGCCCTGCGTAATCTTTATTTTTTTTCTAACTTTATATATCATAATTATGATAATTACTAAATATTTTTGCTTCTTATTACAATTATAAAATATTATTTTTCGAAAAGGTTTTGAAGTTTGAAAATACTATAGAAGCATCACATTGTTTTAAATAACAATATTCAACAATTATAGTAACTTATTATTTAACTCGACAAAGAATCCGATCTTAAATTAGTGTAGAAAAATTATTTTTTTACAATATTGGAGATTATGCTAATTTCACACATCAGATACACACAATACAGTTTATTATAATAATGCAATTAGTGCAGTAAACGGAGAGGAAAAAAGGGTATAACCTTTTTTTACTGTGCTCGGAATTGAATGAAATTTTGGAATTAGGTTCATCTTACCCTCAAGTTCAAAAGTGAAAACAATTCGGGTTGCGCCATCACCCCCCGGGGGGTGACACCCCTTCTAAATTGTGTAATTACATTTTTTCAAAATAACGTCGGAAATGGATAGAAGAACTAATTATAAGAAAAAAATGTCTTATATAGTTTTTCAAAAAAACTAATACTTTTCAAGTTACTGGCCACTGAAGATTCATATATTTTTGGCGTTTTTCTTCGTTTTTTGCAAATATCTCCTAAAATATACATTTTAACAAAAATCATGTAATGAACAAAATAATGTCAATAAAAATCTTAATAAATCGGTATTACATAAAGTGTTCTAGGAAAAACATTAAGCAAGATTTGAAAGAGCAAAGTCGTTTTTTATTTCGTTCAAGATTTAATTGTTGTATTTAATGTCGAGGTTTTACATTTTATGCATTTTGGTAAAATTGGGTTTTATAGTACTCAACATAAGCTTTAAAATGAGTGCTGTTACAAGTTTTTTGCGTGTAAAATGAGTGAGCTATCATGCAAATAAGAAGCATATACGAAGTTTTTTTCTTTTAAATCATATGGTTTAATGAGCGCCATTTCCACTAGAATTAAAGTAAATCATATTCCATCTAGAAATCACTTCATTATAGTCATCTTGATAGATTCTAGCAGATTCACTACTTTAGTACAAACTATTTTCAAAAAATTCACAATTTCATAAAAACTTTTTTTTCCAATTTTTTTAAAAATCGAACTTATTTTCATTATATCTCAAAAAGAATAAAACATACGTATAAAAGCATATAGATAAAAATCAAAGGGATCTTTCTGGCTTATTATTGTTTTTTAACTTCCCGAAGGAGAAGTTTATGTTTTCATCAAGAAATCCGATTCGCTAATTTTATGTTTTCTCGACGTTTTGAGCCATTCTGAATCGATTGAGACCAAATTTGGAAAAAGTATGTGTGTGTGTGTGTGTGTGTGTGTGTGTGTGTGTGTATGTGAACAGATTTTTTGCCGTAAATCGACGTTTTCTCGAAAACGGCTGGGTCGATTTCAAAAATTTAAAAGCCATTCGATGTATCTCGACGAGGACTATTGTTTGTCAGTTTTGTGCGACGATCGGCCAAGCCGTTTCTTCATAAATGGCAGAAAAGTGAAAAATTTTTCGTCTACGTTTTAGCCCGCAATTCTGAATCGATTTTGAAAATTCAAAAACCGTTCGAAAGATATTGGTTGGGAATCGTGCTGATTAGTTTTTGGTAGAGATCGGCCGGGCCGTTTTCTTGTAATAAAGTTTTAAAAAAAAAAATTTCGACGATTTTTATGATTATTTTTTTGACGATAGATACCATAGTCTTCTAGATCATACTAAAATATTACGGCCCTACGACAACTGGTTCAGCTTTAAAAATTCGTCAAAGTTTGCAAAAATCAGTATGGTCTTTTTGGCATTTGTCAAAATTAGACTTTTGATCGACGTTTTCTCAAAAACGCCTGAACCGATTTTAGAAATTTAAAAGCCATTTGATGTATTTCGGTGAGGACTATCGTTTGTCAGTTTTGTGCAACGATCTGCCAAGCCGTTTCTTTGTAATTTGAAAAAAACTTTTCGTCCACATTTAAGCTCATCCTACCGAACGATTTTAAAAAATCAAAAACTGTTCGAAAGATATTAGTTGGGAATGGTACTGATTAATTTTAGGTGAAAATCTACCGAGCCGTTTTCTTGTAATTAACTGTTGAAAAAAAAATTTAAGCCGATTTTCATGGAAATTTTTTTTGGCGATATACATCATGGTCTTATAGAACTTATTGTAATATTACGGCCTAACGACAAGTAGTTTAATTTTAAAAATTCGTCAAAGTTTGCTAAAATTATTATCGTTTTTTTTAAAGTAGGATTAATGAAGTATATTATTTGCACATTTTTTTTTGATTAAGTCGATTATTTACACATTTCGGGAAGTTCATGTAACTTGCCTCAAGGCTAAATACCAGTACCAACTAGTTATTATTTTTCTTTCACACAAAAATTGACAGAGTTATAAATGTTTAAAGACTGCGCGGCCGCGCAAATTGGAAAATAAAGTTTTTATAAAATCGTGAGTTTTCTGAAAATAGTTTGTACTAAAGTAGTGAATCTGCTAGAATCCATCAAGATGTCTATAATGAAGTGAATTCTAGATGGAATGTGATTTACTTTAATTCTGGTGGAAATGGCGCTCATTAAACCATATGATTTAAAAGAAAAAAACTTCGTATATGCTTCTTATTTGCATGATAGCTCACTCATTTTACACGCAAAAAACTTGTAACGGCACTCATTTTAAAGCTTATATTGAGTACTATAAAACCCAATTTTACCGAAATGCATAAAATGTAAAACCTCGCCACTAGATGGCTTTAAATACAACAATTAAATCTTGAACGAAATAAAAAACGACTTTGCTCTTACAAATCTTGCTTAATATTTTTCCTAGAACACTTTATGTAATACCGATTTATTAAGATTTTTATTGACATTATTTTGTTCATTACATGATTTTTGTTAAAATGTATATTTTAGGAGATATTTGCAAAAAAACGAAGAAAAACGCCAAAAATATATGAATCTTCAGTGGCCAGTAACTTGAAAAGTATTAGTTTTTTTGAAAAACTATATAAGACATTTTTTTCTTATAATTAGTTCTTCTATCGATTTCCGACGTTATTTTGAAAAAATGTAATTACACAATTTAGAAGGGGTGTCACCTCCCCGGGGGGTGATGGCGCAACCCGAATTGTTTTCACTTTTGAACTTGAGGGTAAGATGGATCTAATTCCAAAATTTCATTCAATTCGGAGCACAGTAAAAAAATTCAGACCTAAAACGCTCCGTTTACTGCACTAAATATGATCTTTTATGAGTTGTTGGTCTTTCTTACTCATAAGTTTGTTTTTGGTGAAAAGTACTCAATATACTCGATAGCGATAATGATTTAATTAAATTGCATATACTTTTGTTTAATTATTATTTAAAAAAATAAACTATTTGTTTTATTTTATTGTTAAGTTGAATATAGTTGTAGTTGTATATACATTTTTTTATATTTGTACTAGTAACTTTCAATTTTGTTTACGTTTGTTTAAGATAATAAAAATACCGGTAATTTACCGGTATTCCGGTTTTAAAATGAAAAATTACCGAAATACCGGTATTGAAATTTTCTATCGGTATTGCATTCCCTAATCTTAACTCATTAAAGAACAAAATGACTAATTTAAAAATTTTAGAAATAAATCTAAGATATTGGCAAAAATTAAATTATACAACATCCATAAAAATTCTTGATTTAATAATTATTACTATTTCAATTTTGATATTTTGCACTTATTCAATCTCAATTGACATTTCAAAAATTCAATAGCAAAAAATTGGATTTAACTGTGCCACGCCAATCAAAATATTTAAAAGCAATAAAATATTATATAAAAATTCATTTAGTTTTATAAATAAGAACATATTATAGTATGTTAGAAACATCCAGCATTTAATGTAAACAAAGTTATTTTCACAAAAAAATTGCCCTATATTTTTAAAAATTGCCAAGTTATTGTAACGAACTATTACTTTTTTCTAACTATAAATAGCAAAATAATTATTAAAAGAACATTCTTCTTACCTCCAGTTGGTAATCTAGGACTGCCAGTGATGAATTGCACAAACTTGCGCTGTTCTTCTTTATTGTAAGTACTTAAGATTTCGAACAAGAATTTGATCACTCTACTATCTTGCACATATCCATGGTCAGTACGACAACATTCCTGTAGATATCTTATATCCCAGTTAGTGTTTCCGCCTGAGACGTTAGAGCCACAGAATACACCTTCTAGTTCTTCAGGATAGAACATTCTTAATGCAGATAGGGGGAAGACAGATTCAAAACCTTCACGGAATGCATCCATTTGCCTAGTAACACCTGTGATAAGATAACTCGTTTATTATTTGTCATTAATATCAATAAGCATTGAAATCAGTCTGTGCAAAAGCTGAATGAAAATGTTCAATAATAAGTAAAAGATTCTTACTCATTTCAACAAAATTTTCAACTACAAGTTCCAAAATATTTTTTTCTTTGGTTATATTAAAATTTCATTTGTTATTAATTTTATTGTGATCATTTTATTTCATAGGAAGTTTGACTATATGTATTTGATATGAAATAGGTTTTGTCTTTAAAAAATTAATTCATTCCAAATACAGCTAATACAGTGACACATCGACTTACGAGTGACATGACATGTTTCGAGATACGAGCAAAAGAAGCGATTCGTTGCTTCGAGACGCTCACTCAAAACTCGTATCTCAAATTTTGCTGGAACAAATTAATGGCACAACAACAATTTATATGGGAAAAATTGCTTCCCATTCCCATTCTAATGGAATGAATTAAACTCGTATGTCAGTGTGTCACTATATTTGTTTCAAGCAAAAACAGATATATGTTAGGATTTGAAGAGTCATGGAATCACTTAAATGATATAGAAATTAAAAGGCAAATTTAATAAAAATTGTCAATTACCTTCATACAAGAACCAATGCACCACTAGTTTTATATATTGATCTAAATTATCTAGTGTTACTGGAGTATCTCTTCCACCTTTCTTGAGTTCAATATTAGCATATCCAGGTAGAACAAAATCTAAACCTAGATCCACAATAGAACAGCCATCAAGTGTTAATCCTTCTATTAAGCGTTGCCTTTCCAATGGTAATAAGCTAGGGTCTGCCAGTATTGCATCTCTTCTGCGAACAGTGTCCTGAAGTCTCACAAGAGTCCGATGAACTTCCGGAGCAACCGATGATAAATCAGACAGTGATAGTGCATGCTCTTGCCCAAGCAGCCATCGATAAAATGATGTCGAAAATGGTAGATCTAACTGTGATAGAATTAGATTATAAATTAGCATTTAATTAGTGTTACTTCATTCAAGTTTATATTCTATTAATATTATTAACTATCTAAATTCATCACAAAATTAGCAAATAGGATTTTGGGCAAAAACTTTCTTTGCGAAATTAATAAAATTAAATTTAAAATAGAGCAATTCTTATTTCTCTTCAATATAAAATTCTAGATTTTAGAGTACTAACTTTCGGGAGCTCTTGTTTTCGCGAAAAATCCGATTTGCTGAACTAAAATATTATGGGCCTGCGATAAGTGGTTGAGTTACAAAAATTGAACAAAATTTAGAATTTCATCGCGCTTAAGGGATTCTAATCAGAATCTATGCCAAAAATTTATTGAACGTATATATAGTACATTCTATGTTTCGTTTTAATATAATAAATTTTTAGAATACGAGATGGATGAAATGAAATGTGTTTCACAAGTTAACTTAATTTATACTATTAAAAGATATTGTAAGTATGTAACTATCTACATATAGATAGTATATATTAAAATAAAATTAGTTAATTAGTCATATTAATATTAATTAAATGGAATCAATATATTGGAAATAACCATGTAAATGAAAGTTAGTAGCATAAAATAATTAGTTAGTTATATGAATACTGCTAAAAAGGAATCAATATATTTGAAATACTATGTAAATCAAAGTTAAGGTTGACTAAAATCATATTCAAATTATTTCTTACCATTCTACTATCCATTACAGCTTTAGCCATAAACTTTCCTAAAAACTTGAACTTGCTTTTCAGTTTAGACATCTGAGAAACTTTGGTTGTTCTTCCTAAAGCCATTGGAAATAGTCCAACAGGACTATGGACATAAGATACTGATACATCTGACTCACTTGCCTTTATATTATTGGTTCTGTAATTATCATCATCAACAGTTAATGCTGGCATATCCAATGAATTATCAATGATAAGTTGCTGGCCATTATTATCTGCATGTTTCATTTTGTATGAATCTTCAGAATTCACACTAGTAGTATCATTATTTTTAATGATATCATTTATATTATTCTGACGATGCTTGAAACTTTCACTGCCATGCCATAAATCTAAATCAGCTCTTTGCAATTCACGTGAAACTAAAGCATAAAATTCTAATGTAGGCCCTAATCCTGTTCCAACTTCATTTTCATACTGTATCTCCAAAAGAGCTTTGGAACTGGCAAGATCTTGAATGACAGCTTCAGCTTGTTTTAAAATATCATCACGAGATATTGTTCGTTTGCGCCTGTCTAATCTAGGTGTCACTCTTTCACTTGTATCATTAGAATTTATATCAGGTGATGAATCGATTAATCTTTGCAGTGCCCGATCTCTATCAAAACTATTTGCATAAAACAAAAGCTGCCTTGTTTCAAAAGGAAATAAGAATGGGCATACACCTGCTATCTGATGTAACCATTGTGGTAAATTTCCTGTCATGATCACTAAAGGATCCTGCAATTGTCGGTTTGCTTTTGCTGCTATTTTACTGTTGATAAATTCAGACTGTCCAATTATAGGTACATATTCTAAAGATGGATGAAGAATGTTCCAATAACGATTTAAAGAGCACAATACACGCAATAAGCACAATACTTCTAGACTAGCATCTTGAATAGTTACTGTTTCTGGTAAACTTTGCACTAAAAATGTTTTAAGAGGTGAGGCCACCGCAGGAATGATTCCTTCACTCCACAATTCATCTCCTTTACGTCTCATATGAGATTTAGAACTAATTTTACCTTTCCTCGTACTATGTTGTGCAGTCATGCTCTTATTAGTACTGCTTGCATCTTCAGGTAATGGTCTATAATAAATAGTATGTGTTTGCACCCAAACTCCTGCATTCCCCAGAGGCATCTCAGATTCAGTATCAATTTCACTCTGATCATTAGCAGTTGGGGAAAATTGTCTTACAGCTTGATATACTGTCATCGTATAAGGTAAGACATTATCTCCAATCAAAAACTGTAATTTATGCCTAGAACCAGTTTGAGCAAACACTACTGTAGCTAACGTGTCATCAATATCATCTTCTGAATTATCATCATCAGAGTCAGCATTATCTTTATCACGTAAACGACCATAACCTCGTACAACTAAATATCTTTCTATAGCTTGAACTAAGGCTAATGGATCTATTTTTACAGTACCTCCTTTCCACTGCTTTAAATTAGTACAATCAGGATGTCTCTGCAAATTGCACTTGAGTTGATGAGTGTTAAAGAATTTTAAAGCACTAGTACCTCCACCCCTGGCACCATTTGGACCTGCAGGCAAATCATGAACTTTGACTGGAAATTGTTCTAATTGAGATACACAACCAGATAACTTAGCTACAAGTGCACTGAAGTATGTGGGATTCCATTCCTGTAGATCTTGAATAGATGTGATATTTTGTACATTTATTGGTAAACCAGTAAAAACATGAAGAAAGATTTTTAAACGCATATCTCTATCAACCCTTCCTTCTTCTAAAGTCATAAAACTAATTAAGGCTTTAATGAGTCCAGAATGATTAACTTCAAAAGGTGAAATATCAGATTCTATTAATATATTTCTAAGATCAAACATAGCTGTTTGGCAATCAGATTCATCTCCTGGTAACTTATCTATGGCTGCTGTCAATCTAGACAGAACACAAAGAGCTGGATGTGGTGGACCACATTCTTCACTCTCTGCATAGGATTCCATAAATCTACTAGCTTGTTCACGAACCCAAGTCCTAGCTTTTTCTCTATTTCCTGCTGTAATGTTAGAATTGGAAAGACTTTTATCTAAACCTCCACAGTTTCCAGAGCCACTAGAATCTTTTGAGTAATTGGCAACATGTTGAGATGTACTTTGACCTCTGCCCCATTTTGCTGGGTTTAGTGAAGCCAAAAATGATGTAGTTTTAGAAGTAGCACCGGCAAAACGAGATCGAGAAGGTGCTGTAATAAAAAAATTTAATGTAATTGTTATAAATAACTAAGTTATTGAATTTAATAAAATATATTATATAAATTAAATAATTTTCAATATGATTGAAAATAAAATCATTTTAAATTAGTGTGAATGTGTGGGTGAGCAGCACCTGCACCCAATGTACCTGTTACTCCACTGGTAGCTGGTTGGGTTCCACTGCCTAAGCTGGTGGCTTTTGTAAATAAATCTTGCATCATAGAAGTTGATAAGTTTACTTCTGCATCATTTGTAGTGGGTGTTGTTCGGGATTTAAGTCTGAAAATACATAAACCATAAAAACATGCTCTGTGATTATGATTATTATTCATCGTTTGATGTGCTTACCTGCTACTTAAAGTTGGTCGTTTTGGAGGGCGTTTTCGTTTCAATACATCTGACAATCTCATTTGACTAGGACTGCTTTGACCTTGTACTGTTGACTGATTGTTCTGCCCCGCAGAAGGTTGTATGGCAGGATTTTGGGTAGCCAAATTTGAATGATAATGTCCTAATAAAACTAGATATGTTAGAGAACGAATAATCATTGTTGAATATAATTGCAGAATGATTAGATTAGAATGATAGATTCACATAGTCAGTGACCTGACAAACGAGCAAAGAAGCGATTTGTTGCTTCGACATACAACCAAAATTCGAGATACAAGCTGTGGACAAGTAAAGGATTTCTCAAAAAATTATAATGATAAAATGAAAATATGAAAAATTTTGTCAGATGTCACAATGATTTACCTAATACCTACCTTAGAAATATTTAGGATATTTTATAATAGTAAATTATTTCATAGTTAGTCATTTCAATTATACATCAATATTAATTAATGAAGTAATGATTTATCCACATTAAACTTAGGATTATTTGAACATTTGATTTTTAACTATATGTATATAAATAGTGATTGTGCAGCGATATATAATATTCGTTTGTGTTTTGAGGCTTTCAATACATTTAAAAATTATTAATAAATTTTTGAATCATGTATCCAAAGAAAAGAGACATCTTTTCAATCAAAGGGTGAGATTAATAAAAAATATGAGGATGGCCAGTATGTAAGAGCAACACATGATAGATTTGTGCTGTGTTTAAGCAGACGAGTATAACTCCAGCTAAGACCTCTAAAAGTGGATGAAAATCAACCCGAAAAAGTTGGACCAGAGTTGTGAAACAAAACATGTCTAACACATTTCCGCAATATCATGAATAGATAGGTAAAAATAATAAATAGTAAACTTATTTTTAATCTTCAAAAAACTCAACAAATACCACAGTTCTGGGAAAAATTAATGGCATTTCCCTGTATTTATATGGAAAAAATTGCTTTGAGATACAAGCAATTTGACTTACAGGTCTGGTTACAGAAAAAATTGAACTAGAATTTTTGGTTACCACTGTAAATATAAAAGTATAGAGCCGCTAAAAGTGTGGTTTGTAGATAATCAAAAATGATAAGTATTAGTTATTATTGAGAGTGTGCAAAAAGAGAATCATGTGAAGAAAATATGCAAAAACATAATAAAAAAGTTGAAAAAATATGAATAATACCATTTGGTTTCTTTCATGAATATACTATTGTAAGATGCCACCTAACATATAATATTGGACTATTCAAGTACACAAGACAGTACATTTTTTAGAACATCTGAATCACAAGAAAAGTTATTTGTATCAAATATTCAAATTTATTAATTTTCAAAAACATGTGTTTCAAATGCAAAGTTATATAGAAAATGGTTCAAGTTCTTATTCTAAACAAGTAACTGCAAATTATGTTAAAGCAAGTTCATACCTTGATCTCGATGCTTATTGAGACTCATTTGGGGATCATTTATCTGAGCTGCTTCCCGCAATAACTCTGCATATCGTTGCTTGCTACTCAAGTGGTTATGAGCTTGAACATTGGGTTGAACAGTAGCATATCCATGATGATGAGCATCAACAATTGCCGAAGCCGTGGTATGATGGGAAGTAAAGGCTGATAAGGGTGAATGAGCCATTGTAGATGAAGACAATGGAACTAATAAGTGATTGCCATTAGATGATCCTATAATAATTATATTGAGAATAATATTTAACTTGAAATTCAAATATTCATCTTATTCTGTCAGTTTTTTTCATTATATGAATATTTAATTTAAATATTATTTAATGACTAGATAAAATTAAATGTCTCATTTTAATAGAAGTTTAGTCAAGAATACAATACAAATCAAAGTTAAGTTATTAGACAAACTTATTCTATTAGTATTTAACTAATTAATTAAATAACTTCTGTTGATTTTGCAAGACATATACTGAATACTGTACTATCTTAGAAATTTTGTACAATTAAAATACTAATTTTTTAAAGTCATATTTAAAAACATGTAATACCAGTAAAACTAATTTATAAATTACCTTCAATTGGTTCTACAATTCCAGTTGGAATGTTACTACCAGCGACCGTACCACTAGCAAATGATGCTAATGAGTTATTTGTTGAAGATAGTATATTATTGGCTATGTTCCCAGCATGTGCAGAAGCCATTAAATTCGTTGCATCTATTGCACACATTGTAGGATTAAATCCAGAGGTCATTACTCTGCCTGACCCGGACTTATTTCCAGTTTTCAACGCATTCGTGCTATTTTTACTACTCAAAGTATCTTTTGAAGAAGTGTGGCCAATTTTGACACAAGAAACGGTAGTGAGATTAGAAATTCCAGGAATACCAAATTTATTATCATCATTATTCAAGTTGGTAGTTGGTGGTTGCTTAGGAGGACTAACACTTAATGGTACAGAAGGATCAGCCAATTGCTTAATTTGATGCATGACACCCTCCCTTCGGAAATGAACACCAAAAACATCTGGAAGTTTTTGCATTAAAATATCAGCCATTTGCAAAGCTCCAATGACTATACGTAAATCAGTTGAAGCCATCATTCCTGCTATATGAGATGATACAATCTGGTTCTTCAAAACTTCTTTCAATAAATCTGCATTTGCATAATATACCATTCGCAACAAAGCTTTTAGACATTTGCATCTAACTGCAGGACCAGCAGAAGAACTGTATACTTCATACAAAACTGAAAATAGTGAACGTATAAAAGCTGCTGCCAAACCTCTTTCTTCACGCAGGCAAGCAACTCTGGCATCTCTTTGTGAATTAGATGGTCTAGCTGATAAATCCAAATGTTGGCCAGGAGCCTGGTTTGTTGCATTATTTTCAATATTTTGTGGTTGAGTTACGCCAGATGGAAAACTTGCAGAGTTGTCTATTAAATGTGTATTAATTTTTCTCTGAACAGGTCTTGTGGTTCCTGTGTCTTCATTGATCTGTTGCATTGAATGAAAATCTACAGTGTAAGTTCTTCCTAAGGTGCTCAAACTAATTTCATCCTCTGAATTTAAATAAGCAGCTTCGATAATACGTGAATCTATTGGAGTGTATAAATGCCATAAAGACCTATCATCTTGCCATAACCATTGAACTGCATCTTGTACATTGCTTGAAGGTTTTTCAAGCAATGAATCTACAGAGAAAATACCATCCGTAGGAAGTCTAGGCATCAGCTCACCAATTAAACAAGTAATTTCATACAGTTCTTGAGGACTTCTCTGAGATAATTCTATATCACCTTGTTTGTTAGGAATAGATGAACCAGTTAAGAGATAAAGTAATGTATCAGCAATATTCTGTTTAAGTAATGTAATTGCTAAGTCAGGGCAGTTTGCACACATCACACTGAGCATCCTCAAAACTGTTATAAATGTGCCTGTAGCTATAACTGGAGGTGACACCAATAACTAAAAAAAAAAATCAAAACCTTTTATATATATATATATATATATATATATTATAAAAGAATCAATTTGATTCAAGATCATAGAAAAGTATATAATAAAATTTACAATAATAAAAACAGCAATGGCTTACCAATTGTTGTGCATTAGTTAACAATTCCAGGCTAGCAATTTCTTGCAATCTCTGTGGATCGTGTTGAAAACTATCCACTAAGCGGCTAAATGCTACACAAACACATTCAACTGATTTCTTATCTTGTTGAGTAAGTCTAGCAGCTAAAAGTGGTAAAGAATCTGCCACAAAATGAAATTCTTCAGCATGAAGATTTTGGCAGCAATTTGATGTTACAGAAAGAGCTGCTCGTTGAGCATTAATGGAAAAAAAATCCAAGTACATCAGGCAAGATGCCACACCTCTCTAAAAATTTATTTTTAAATCAAAATTATAATTGTGCAACAACAATGTGCGAGAAATTGATTAACATTAGAACATACCGCTTGTAAAATAGTTTTGCTGTGCCGTCTTGACAGCATATCTAAAGCTGTTAAACTTTGCTCAGCAACATCCATGCATTGAATAACTTGCAATTTTTCTAGAAACACAGGAACAGCATCAGCAACAACTCCACTGGATCTTGGCAAAGCCTCCATCATATAAGTCAATGCCCTACAGGCATGGTTCATCTAATGTACAAAATTATTATTAAATAAATGAAAGTATGAAGTGCTTTTAGACAAACATGAAACCTTTACAAAATACAGTTTATTTCACTTTTTAAGTTCCATATATTTCATATAATGGTGTTTTTTCAATTTTCATTGCAAGTCATAGCATAAAGTATGATTTCCACAGTTAAATATTAAAGTTTTTATACATTGACTAAAATTTAGATGAAAAACGACATATAAAGGCTCCATCTTGCACATAAATTATATTCAGAACATATTTGAAATATTAAAAAGTAAGTATTAAAAAAATTTAGGTTCCTGAGCTCAATAGTTTAGATCTTTTATGCTAATATAAGTTTAAAATTAAATTATTAACAACCAATGATCAAAACACAAATAATCAGTGCAATCAGCTAATGTAACTAAAAGGTAATTTAAATAGTATTATCTAGAAGGTTGAGTCATAATTTTATTACAAATTAAGGATGGTGAGTGTGTTATTATTTTTAATTTTCAAATTTAATTTACACAAAATAACCAGACAAATCTATTATGTTAATTAAGTATTGTGTTACTGATATGGCTATTATTTTAATAGAAGTATTAAAAAATCATACCATATCAAAATTATGTTCCATTCCCAGAAGTGTGATGAGTGCAGGCACAACAGATTTGACTGGAAAACCAGCTAGAGTATCTTCATTTCCCATTACTAACATCTGACACATTTCGATGACCGCTTGTAATTGCTGGCTTTCATCTCCTGTTTGTTGTAGGCCAGCTAATAATTGTTGAGCTTTGGATGCTGCAATTATTAAAATAGAGTAATAAAATAACCAAACATGAATATATAAAAAATCTCAAAATAGCACTCAAATTATCAAAAAATTATAAAATATATACACTTTTACATACATAGAAAAATTTACATAGGAAACTATTTTATATAGAAAATCGTCTTTTTTTTCATCACTTTATTTATCATTCTCAGACCGTTGGAAATTACATTCAATTTACAAGTTAAAAACATTTACATGTGATATTTTTGAATTTTTGTGGAAAAAACGAAAAAAATTAATCCAGCCGTTTTTCATCAATATGTTAGCATTTTGATTTGATGATGGCCCCACAAATTTTTAAATGATGATGCATCAAGTAAAAGTTAATTTGAGTTAAAAAAAAGTGTAATTCAAAGTGATAATTTGTAACATTGTACATTTTACAACGTTTCGAAAATTAACATATTTCTGTTTATGTTTAAATAAATGAGAATTTAAAGATAACACTCAAAAATCATTCTTAAAATGTTTTCTATAACAATACGTACATTGAACTGCCTGAGAAGAACAATAAATAAAGTGACAAAGAAAAATTCCTAAGTGAGTCCAAACTTAGTGAGTGTACATAATTTCTGTATAAGCAGAATATTTTTCAAAATATTCTTTGAAAAAAACTAATTAAGATAAGAAAAATTAACCAAAATAATAATTGTTATTTAGTAATCCATTAACAATTTAATCATTTTAATGTATGAGCAAGTAAATCAAAACAAAATTATGTTTTACGACAAAGTTATGTTAATTAGAGAAAGAAACAATCAATTATGTATTTTAAAATAATAATTTAAAAATAGTTTAGGGAAACCTTTAATATAATAATTTAATACTTAAAGATATCAAATAACAAATATAAACCATATTATTACACTCACATGTGTTGGCTCCCATAGTTCTATGCAATAAGCTTTGCATCCTGGGTCCCAAGGCACCAAATAGCTGCGGCGGTAAGCCTCTTTGCTCAAGTAGCGCCTGAAGCTTACCCACTTCACTGCTGTCGTCAGACTCTGAATCGAGTGCATTAGGAGTAAGTAACGAATTAGAACCAACCCCTCCGGAGAGAGGGTTGGCTGAAGCTTGAGCTGCTCCTTGTTGTGATGAGACATTTCCTAAAAATATCAATGTATGTGATTGCTGATTATTTTCAAACAATATAAATATGTCACATTACAACGCAACAAAAACTCAATCGAAGTATTCAGTGCAACCATAAGGATATCATATTTGTTTTTTTATTCATTGATTTAATGAAGAACGTACACAGACTCAATTAGATTAATCTATAAATACACAATAGCAGGCTTACACAAATATTCGTCACTCCTTATTTCAATTATGATTTGAAACTCGTCATTTCCGTCAAATTTTAATTTACATTTATATTGTGTTTTTTAACTAATGGTTATATATTTTAACATACCGCTTTGTGAGAGACCCGTAGACGCTGCTGGCTGTTGTGAAACAGCAGCATCCAAATCAAGTGCTCCATCTAAGCAAAATGAAATACCTTATTTTGAAAAACTATGTGAGCATACAATAGTTTAATATAGCAATATTTAGAATAAAAAATCGATAAAAAAGTTTTTCCACAAGCCTGACCTAGACAACAACGTGCAAGTAATAAGCTTAGCTCATCTTCCATATAGTGCAAAAACTTGTTTAACAAACCCAGCTACTGCCCTTTTGAAATGGTATATGACTGGTTTTAGCAGATAATATAAATGCATCCGAAATAAACAAAATTTCTCATCTTGAATTTCCCACTTTCCCCTCTGTCATGTGATAAATTAGACATTAGATTTTGTTTTAAAAACTGTGTAATAATTTGTTACTAAATACAATGAAAATTAGCACCTCAATAAGAAATTACTTATGAATGGTTATTATCAGCAAGTTATTACACAAAAGAATCAGATAAAAATAGTTAACAACAATTTTAAAATACCTAATAATAATTAATTTAATTTTTTTTTTTGCAACTACTATATTTCATTTGTGAAGATTGCCAATGACATGAGTCAAGTTAAACAGCTGGGCAAAAATCAATTCATAACTAAATGTTTAGGCATGTTATCATTCATAAATGCTGTAAATTTATGAGATTACTTTAAGATAAAAAGTAATATCATAGTACAGTAGATGAAAGTGAGGCTGACTTACAATAATGGAAACTATTGTGGTACCGCTTAAAGTATAATTTATAATATTACAGATTTTATCCTATTGCTTGTTCGCACTTTGCATAAATATGTTTTTGATATAGATTGCACAATGAATGATTGTCAAGAATGTCATTACAGCATATAAAGTTAATATTTTATAGATTAACATCATCTTGTAAATATGCTCAATTAACTGATCGTAAGTTGCTAATGTTGTTGAATATTAAAATATTACCTTTGTCTCCTAAAGCAGAACTGGGCCCAGGCTGATTTCTATGATAGCGTTGTGAACTAGATCCAGTTGCTCCTGCTTGACCAGAATTCACAGATTGAGGGCCCGATGAAGGGCCTGAGGAGGATGTACAAGAACCCGTTGTGGTGGTTGTTAACTGTTTGCCTATAGCAAAATTATTGAAAATTGTTTAATAGGAATAAGCAAGTTTGAGTATTCACATCAATTTTAACTAATATGTGAGCAATTGCCACTACCAAAAGTCGAATTTAGATCATATACAAATGAGAGCAAAGTAAAATTTTATAGTGACATTTAAATATTTTATTAAATATATTCGCAGAGATATTAAATGATAGTAAAACCTTTTTTGATTTACTAATATCTAACTAACCTTTTTCACGTTTTTTCTTATCTTTGGGCGCAGGCATTGTAAAATGCTCCGGCCCGGCTCGCAGGCTGCGCCTAACTTGCTGTAGATTGTGACTAACTTCTGAATTTCCTGAACTCCCAGCTGCTTGATGTGATCCTCTAGAACCCAGATTCTGCTTTTTTCTGTAATTGTTTTCCCTAACAGCTCGTTTTGATATCAAAGAAACAATCCTTTTACTTTTTGCACTTGTGCTTTTCGGCACAACTTTGCTAGAATTTGTTTTGGTGTGGTTTAATTTAGGGGTTGCAACCGTGGGCCTTAAATTGTTGCTGGATGGTTTTGAGGAAACCGAACTTTTCTTCTGATCAGGAACACTCTTATTAAATGATTGTTGGATTGAATATTTTGCACGTTTTGCAGGAATTGGGCTAGTGTGCCTACGAAGAACTATAGCCGGGCTAGGTGACTGGTGACTATTTGATCTAGACCGACGAGTAGTTTCTACTGTAATTAAATAAACATGTATCAGTAATACAATACACATAGTAATATGTTTAAGAATACTAATGTGACTAATAAAATAAGGATATAGTATATTAAAGTTAAATACTTTATGAAAGGAAAAAAAACATAACATCAAACTAAAAAAACAGTTTTACAGACAAGTAAAAAGAAACTACAATATTTATCAGTATTAAAACTTAAAACTATGACTTTATGTCAAAACCAGTCTAAGCATCTAAATTAAGCTATAATTTTCACATAAAATTTATTTGAAGAATTCATAAAATGACAAACCTTTATAGGTTATACTGCCTGCAGGTCCACTAATCTCTCTTGTCTCTCCCAAATATAAACCTTCTTGAAATTCTCTGCCGTGACTTCTTAATGAATAACGCCTTTCTGATGTTGAACTTGTATCAGAATCTTTTGTACCTAAAAATAAAAATTAATACTATCAAATTTCCAGTTCACTGAAAGAATTATAATTTGTTGGCATGCACAAAATAATACAACTCTTAATTATATATTTACTAAATTGTATATTGTTTAAAATCATTTTTATGACAATCGAAAAGAAATTTCTTTGGAAAATCAAATTCATTCAGTTATAAGATATGATATCTCATAGATTGGAATTAAAATTAAACAGAACATACATGTAAACTCATTCACTAGTTCCAGTTCTCGTTTTGGTGCTTTTCTTAATGGTATGTGTGATTTAGGCAATTTATTTCCTTGTTTACTATTATTAAAACTGGATTTGTTACTTCTCTCTTCTTTTAACTTTATACTCTCGTTCCCAGATTTGGCACTAACACTTGGTTTCCTAGATACTTGACTTGCTTCTTCCAATAAATTGAAACTGCTGCTATGGCTTCTTGATCTAGTATTTCTTGTCAACTTTTGATTAGATATGGATATTTTAGTTTTACGAGCTGTGTTATGGCTTGAAATTCCTACACTTATAGTACTTTCACTACTTTTAGATCTGGCACTAAGACCTGCTGAACTAGATTTTCTGGTACTACTCTTCAAAACAGTATTTTGAGATTTTGTAGAAGAAACTCCTTCAGTTTTGCTTTGGGCTCTACGAGCTTGACTTTGACGAGATTTTCTTTGAGATTTATTTATATTTGAAACCTTGCTTGTTTGTTGTGTACTAGATTTATATGATGATCTAGTGGAAGTTGATGCTACAATAAAACAAATTACTTTAGACAATATATATATATATACATAAATATATATGAGTAAGTTCTTGTGGGGCGATACATCAAAGAATAAAAAGCAAAGATTTATAAATTAATCTTTAATTCCAAACGTTTCGACATTAAATTTAATGTCATAAGCCTCGGAACTTGCAGAGTACACAAGTTGTGGCAGAAATTACCTAACTTTACTCAAATTTTGTTCAAATAAAACCATCATTTTGCTTTTTACATCATACAAAAAAATTATAAAAAATGCATGGTGATGACAAGTTAGTTGTATAAATGTAAGTGCTAATATATATTGTAGTGCACACTTCTCTAGATGTAACCACCAACGTTAATATCCACTGATGATGACATTAAATTGAATGTCAAAACGTTTGGAATTAAAGATTAATTTATGAATCTTTGCTTTTTATTCTTTGATGTATCGCCAAACAAGAACTTACTCATATATCTCAACATCAAAATTAACAACTAAATCTATATACGAGATATATATATATATATATATATATATATATACATTGAGAGGTTTTTTCAGATGGTGAAATATTATAATAATGTTGATCTTGGGCGTCCATCCATTAATTGAAACTATTTTATTGAAGTAAAATGTTTTATTGTCAAACATTTCAAGTCATGATTTGACCCATCTTCAGTGCTATATTAAAAGACTACAGAGCTACAAGTTAAAAATACAAAGATATAAATAAATAAATGAATTCACTTAATAAATCTAAACAATAGGGTAAAAATTTATAAGATTAGTATCTAAAATATGTTGTATATAAAGGTAAGATACAACTAAAATAATTGAATAATATGCAATAACTCACCATACAAATAATGCACCAATTACTCTACAAGTTACAAAGCATGACTTTTAAAAAACTATTGAAATAAAATAAATATTAAATTAAAATAAAATAAATGAAAAGGTTTTAAAGAAAGAACTCTTCTCATCAAGACATGCTATATGTTCAAAAAATTTTTTACTAGTGAATTGTGTTTCATATATAGATGAGAAAATTCAAAGAGCTGTTTCATTATTGGTTGAAAGACTGAGATAGAGAAGGTTTAGTGGCGCTTTGGCCGGCGGAAAAATTACGAAATAAGGATATGGAAAATATACCCTTTGGATTTAAACTGTAATCAGTAAGCAAAAATTTTTTGTATGAAAATAATGTAATCAAGGCATTAACATAGGAGACATTATAAAATATAAAAAAATATGCGAAGAAGAGAATAAAATATATATATATATATATATATATATATATATATATTTTGTAGAGTTTCAAACGAGAATCCAAAAAGTAATAAAAAACAAGAAGTTTTTTTTAAAAAAACAATTTATTTATTTATATAATTACGACGTTTCGGAACTAGGTACGTTCCATCTTCAGGACATCTGTCAAGAAACATGATATTGATGAGATTTAAGCAAACAATATGTTTAAGAAAAGAAAATGGATTTTTCTTAAATAATAAATTAGTTGAAAAATTATAATAATGTGCAGAAATATGATAATACGATCAAAATGAAAATGATAAAAATAAATGAGTGGATTATCTAACAGGATATTAAAAAAGATAAAATTTTTTTTTGAAAGTTATGAAAAATTTTAAAAAAAGTTAATGACAAAATTGAATTAATTACCTGTATGTTTTTTGAATATATGTTAGCACTTTTTCACTAAAACAAGATATTAACAAGAATTGAATTTATGAGTTAATTTGCCAGCCGAATAGATAAATTTTGTAAATCAAAATTACCATAAGTTTTTTCTTTATTCAAAAAATTATTATTTGAAAACACCAACAATATTATTCTCTCGATGTTATGAGAACGGCTATTGGAAAAAAACTGCCTAAGTCTAAGACACTCATTTTCAATTTGATCGTATTATCATATTTCTGTACATTATTATAATTTTTCAACTAATTTATTATTTAAGAAAAATCCATTTTCTTTTCATAAACATATTTGTTTGCTTAAATCTCATCAAGATCATGTTTCTTGAAAGATGTCCTGTAGATGGAACGTACCTAGTTCCGAAACGTCGACAGTAATTATATAAATAAATAAAGAAATTGTTTTTTTAAAAAAAAACTTTTCTTGTTTTTTATTACTTTTTGGATTCTTGTTCGAAACTCTACAAAATATACACAAATTTAAGACTCTACCATTTAATATATATATATATATATATATATATATATATATATATATATATAGAACAAAAGTATAAAAGTATAAAAGTAAGGAAAGCACCATCTGAAAAAACCTCAATTTATATTTATATATATATATATATATATATATATATATATATCATTATGATACTATCATATATATATATATATATATATATATGTATATATATATATATGTGTGTGTGTGTGTGTGTATATATTCAGATTTTTTTTGAAAAATCAAGAACATTTATAGCAGAATCAACATTGCAAAATATTGGGTGATGAAGTAATTACAACACAACATAGCAAATATCTACAAAGCCATGAAGTTTTGTGTTTATAAAGCATAAAATAACTTTTTGATACATACATTTATTCAGTTTAGCTTGTCGCTTTTCAAGTTTTATAGCAGAATCTACGTGAGCACAGTTGAGACTGGCTAAAGTATTAGCAGCTGTGGAAGCACGCTTGCGAGGCAACTCTTCTTCCAGGGCAACTATATCTGGTTTACTAACCAGTTTGGAAGAGCGCTTATTTGATTTCTTGCGCTGAAATTCAATTACATATAGTGAATAATAACAACTCTATCAAAGATCTTTGAAAATTATCTTAATTAAATTGAAATGCTGTTATGCTACAATTTTTCATTCAATGAAAGTATTGTTGTCAGTGAAATAAAAATACAGTAAGAAAATTACAAAATAATTAAAAATATGATATCACATATTTGTATTTCAAAATTATCTATCTTCCTAAGTCTTCAATATTCTTATTGATTATTATACACCTAAGTCTGTTTTTACACGGTCTTTTTGTACACGGTTTTGATATAACACGGTTTGAAAATTGAATATTTTTAATTTCTTTACACGATTTTATTCCATTTAGCACGATTTGAAATTTTATGTACTTAAATTTTGTTTGTCAAATTTAATTTTTGCGAAGTATGTTCATATCACAAAAAAGTATTTATGAAAGAAAAAAGTCTGAAACCATCGATAGTATCGATAGTTTGCGAACACTAGCTTAAAGATTTAAGTGAATTCCCCTTTAGCGCGTACAACCAATTTTTACTGGTCAAAGCAAATGTGAATAGCACTAATTTAGGGGAATTATTATTAAAATAAACATGAATTCTTGTTCTTGAAAATTCTTGTTTTTCACTAATTTTAATAGGTTTTAGAGAGTAGGACAAATCACCCATTTTTGTATAAGATCAATGTCTTTTTTTACACGTTTTTTTTTTACACGGCTTCTTCTGGAACCAATCTCCGTGTAAAAACAGACTTAGGTGTATATTAGTATTCGACAAGACAAATATATGCTATCAGACTACCTGATGTGCGCCGCTCACATCAGAGAGCGTCCGCTCTTGGACCTGGTCGGCCATAGACCACGCCGTCTCTCACAGCTCGCGGTGATCTGCACGCTGTCAGTGGACGGTCAATGATCAGGCTCATTCCTCCCAGCCCCTTCTGCTCAAGTTTGCTTTCAAGCAAAATAAACTAGCACACTTCCCCAACAGATCTTTACAAAAAGAAAAGATAAATGAGCATTTGATTGAAATAAAACTAACATTTTGCATATATATAAATATATATTTATTTATATACATATATATATATATATATATATATATACATATGTGTGTGTGTGTGTGTGTGTATATGGAATGAATAAGATACTATAACACAATCGAAAAATCACTATTACTACTAATCTCGAGTCATAGCAATTACTTAATAATGTCTCGATGAAAATAAACAACACTTTTAAAAATGTAAATATATTAAATTTAACATATTTCATTAATTAAAATGTCATATTTTCATTATGATAATTGTTTGAACACTAGAAAGATGGTATCAAAATAATTTTTGATTTAGATTAGTGCTTTGAACTCATGATTAATAGGAGGTCAAAACTACAAATTGATTCTCTATTAAACTTTGAATGTCTGTAGTACATTATTAAACTAGTATGCATTTATTAAATGCTAGTTTCAACATCATATCTTTGCTGTGCCCGAATTGGTTGAATAAATATAGAATAGCGTTAGCAAAAAGATTGCAGTCTCCAATTAGGATCAGAAAAAAAGTGTTTTAATTTACATTTTGTGCTTGCAAAATTGTGGTATAAAAAATTAACAAAGCATCATAAACATGAATGTTCAATTTAAAATTGTATAATGGTATAAAAATGCTTATGTGTTTGACTGTATTTTGTTGACCAAAAACCACATTGCGAGAAGAAATGAGGAAGGCTATTAAAGAAAGCACTATGAGCCTATTTTGTAACTATTATTGACTGTATTGTAAAAAAATGCACATCTCATACTTAATTTCATTCCAAATCAATGAGGTATTTTAATTAGTCTTAAATTCCAGAATATGATGCATGTATCCACTCAAAAATATAAGAAATATACTTACTGATGAAACAAACTCCCAACTGTCAGAGAGTTTATTCTCTGTGTGGCAACTAGTTTACAATTTGATCCTCACAGTTAGTTTTTTCCATATGTACGAAAAACTTAATGAAAATTATGTAGAAACTGTAAGAAGAATATGTATCGTTACAACAAAAATCATGGCATAAAGTCACTTTTATGAAGTAAAATAATTTCAATAAAATTAGGCAATGTAATTTTACTTAAACAAGTTCATATGTTCATATTGTTTTATCATCGCGTTGCAAATTGTTTTTAAATAATGCACAACACATCTAGAAAAAATATTTTTAGGTTATGTAGTGATGCATGTTCGCTATGAACTCACAAATCAACTTTGATCATTTTAAATTGTTTAACAAATACACAAAGTGATAAAAAAAGTATAAAAATATATTTATAACTAAAATTTCATCGTATGCAAAATACGAAAAAATTAAACTATACGAACAAGTTTACTCAATGACATTTTGAACATTGCAAATGGCCTCTCTCAAATGTGAAACAAACAAATGACTAGCTCTCATTTTACTATCGTAAAAGCACCAGTATAAAATTAAATACCTAGAAAGCAAATTAATGATGCATTTTTATGGAATTCAATATCATTTATTTATAGAGTATCATTTCAAACGTTGCGAATATTCTGGATTATATCGATTTTGTTGCAGTGCAAATACGCTAGGTTTTGTTCTGCCTTATATATATATGGAATTCAGTTCTCATACCCCTTTACGTGACGGCAAAAGCAAGCGTCTAGACTTCGGATGAACCACAGATTCACAAACTAATGACTTACATTTATTATGATCAATAGCAAAATAGAATCATTCTTTTATTTGGAATAATTTAGCTCTAGAGCAGTAAAAAATTTCAGTCACTTATTTAAAATGGACACTTATAGTTGATAGTCGCAGAACTTTATACAGTGTGTAGATTATGAAATAGAATATTTTAATCAATTTTTGATTTGGGCATGTAAATAGTCTGACAATGAGTAAAGTAACCAAACGGGGCCAAAAATTGTTATCTTATCTTACGTCTGGCTGATGTGCAGTCACTTTCTTAGGTTTCTTAACATTTTTCAAACCTTTAGCTCAAACTAGTTTAGCTGAATGGTTGAGTCAATGAATAACGATATTTTATCTAGATTAACTGATTATAAAATGTGTCTTCTAAAACTGTACGGCATTGCCCGCATTACCTATAGCTATTATGAAAACATGTTTTTATATTAAAGTTTATATTTAAGATTTTCAATCAGCATATTTCTTATCAGTAATATTACTTATGCATTGTCTGCACAGCACGTGTCAATTTGCAATCAATAGTTGCTACGTAGATTCAACGGAACTCTAATTACGATAAATATATTGAAACATTTAATTTCATACATAAACACAGTTTGTTATTTTTAACTTCCCGCAGGGTAAGTTATTGTAATCGTCCATAAATCGAAATTGAAAATTTTTACATTTCTTCACGTTGAAGGTTTCTGAACATTTTGGCATACCTAAGAAAAAATGGATGTGTGTGTATGTATGTATGGATACAAATTTTCGTCCACGGATCAACCGATTTGAATGGTTCAAAAAAACATTCGATTCCTATTGATAGGGAGATAAGCTGATTAGTTTTCGGCAAAGGCAGGTGCAGCCGTTTCGGAGATACGGAGCAAAAAGTGCAAAAAATAAAAATCGAGTTTTTGAGAGAACGGAGCATCCGATGTGGATGATCAAAAAAAACATTCAATTTGTAATGACGGGGAGAAGTGGTAATTAGATTTTGACAAAGGCAGGTCCAGCCGTTTTGGAGATACCGAGGTAAATGTGCAAAAAATGGCAGTTTTTGAGAGAAACAAGCATCTGATTTGAATGATTCAAAATTTTTGCTTGTTTTGACAAAGTTATTGCTCTTGGGGAAAAAAATATTTCAAATTTTTTTTTCCAATTTTTTTTTGTATATCGAAAATAATTGAGACTTTAATTTCAATTCTAGCTAAAGTTCTAAAGCTCACTTACATACTTTAAATAAATAATTTTAACTTTGTAATTCAGTTTACATACCTCTTATAAACATTAGATAATGTTACAGTATTTATAATAATCTATATGAAAACGTTTAATATTTCTCGAACATTTCGTTGCGGTACGGGAAGTTCCAGCAATTTGCCTTAAGGCACGATGCCATACACAACTAGTTAATTTATAAATTATCCGCAATTCAATTACTACAAAAATTGTGGTCAACTGTTTTCCTTACATGTTTCGAAAGGCTCACATATAATAACATGTGATATATACTTACTCATGTAGGTACACAATTTAAAGGTTACAAAGCGCATCAATATATATTTGTTTGCAATCAAGTCAGTTTTGTGCCACAATTTATAACAAAACAGATTTTAACGAGAAAATTCTATACCTGACTAAATACATTATCGACCAAAAATACTATTAAAATTTTAGTGTCACATACAATCACTAGGAAATCTATCCAAATCACACAAATGCTATATTTTTTTTAATATCTGTGCCTCTTTTATTGAAAAACATCAGCAATTTTTGGTAGTATTTAGAATGTTTAAATTGAATGCCAATCCAGTAATTATAAGTCCTGGTTAAATGTAATCTAGCAGCACAAATTTGCCAAAATTAAACATCATTCATTGTGTATTATTATTTCAAAAAAAAAACACTCAAGTATGCCCCATATTATTTAAAAATATCAATGTTTAAAATTCACTTTAAGTTTAGTATTTTCATCTCAATATAATTCAATGTTACTAAAAATAAATGTGTCTGTATGCATTGTATGTTTACAATAGGATTACTATGCTGTGTAAGTTTAAAAATAATCTTTTATAGGAAAAATGACAATAAGAAAAAAACGTGGAAAGAAATCTATTGGACTGTCCTATTTCCTATTTGTCAATAATCACTTTATTGAAATAAAAGAACTTTCGCATATATGAATTATTTAATATTAGAGAAAAAACATATGGTCGTATATTTAAATCCCTAACCTTACATTCAAGTTTTATATACTAAAATGATATTGTTCCCCTGCGAATTAAAAACCTGTTCGGAGCCACTACAGCTTCACTAATTTCGTTAACCCAACGGTATAAAAAATAATCCAAAAAAAGCCAAAAATCTTATTATAAATCTGCTTCAAGTAATTTGTTTTATTAAGGTTTTTGGAGAAGGTCTTATTTTATATGTGAAGGTAACCGTTCATTGATACAAGGGAGACAGGTCATAGCCCTTTTCTGTATTTGACAATCACGCGCACTTTGTTTCAGCTGTGTTCGTACCGAGGGGAAAGAACCTCAGGAGGTCGTACACTCTAACCAGGGGTGTTCAACTTTGAGACATTAACCTTGTCCAAAAATATTCATACTGAACGGCTGTTAAACTTTGTTGTAAGAATTATACGATCGAATTTAGAAACGGTTATTTCTCTATAGTTTATGTAATCATTACCAAAAGAATAGAACTGACGTAGTATATAATTGTTGTTGTAGAAAATATTTTAGATTAATCTTTAGCTATTCATTTTATCAGCAAATAGAATTTGAATTTGAATACATAACCAAAAAAGTAAATATTTTCTTTAATTCAGTTTAGTAATGATTTTAAAACAATTTGATAGTTATATACAATACTAGACTCAAAACTATTTTGATAACATTTTTTTTCTAATATAAATTACAAGCTGCCTTGTAAATATATTCTAGTCCAGTCATTATAGTAAGTTTACTTCGGAATTCGAGATGCCCATCTGCAAGTCTGTAAATACCCTAAAAGAGCACCCTAAAACTCAAAACCTACATATGGTAGGGTGTACGTACCATATGCACCCTAAAAGTTGTCTCAAAATCTACATATGGTAAGGTGTACGTACCATATATAGGTTTTGAGACAACTTTTAGGGTGCTATTTTAGGGTATTTACAGGCTTATAGCTGGGTATCTCGAATTCCGAGATTTTTACCTATATTATGCTTAAATGACTGGACTACTCAACAATTGATGTGATACCATAATTTGTTATCAAGCTACCCAATAGCAACCCTAAGAAGAGTGAAAGAAGAATGTATTACATAAATTAATCTAAAAATAAAACATAAGCCAACTAGTGGGGCGCATGGCATCGTGCCTTAAGGCAAATTGCTGGAACTTCCCGTACCATTTTTTTTTTTTTTTAAAGATTAACATTTTTGAAAAAAAATTACTCTGAAAAAATTAGATTTTTGAGATACTATAAATTTTTGACAAAAATTTACTTTTTTTTGAAAAAAAAGACTTTTTGAAGAAAAATTTATTTTGAAATATTTTGGAAATTTTGAACTTTTTTTTCGAAACAATCGCACTGCTTTAACTGCATAGAAACGAAATATCGAAGCGCGTAAGCGACGCGTCGCCGTCTAACGGATAAACATTGGTACGGAACCCATAGGAATGTAAACAAAATTTATACTTATTGTTAAAATCTCTATAAAATATCTGATAATTTGATGTGCATAAGTCTAATGACCATTTTTGACCGCCAAATGGCATTTTTAACTTATTTTTATTGAGAGACCATAACCGCTGGACCTGATTTCGCAAAAATTTAATCAGTTCTTCATCTTGTTAATACAAGTGAAATGTTTTTTGAAATATTCAAATCGGACGCTCCGTTCCCTTAAAAACTGAGTTACCGTTTTTGGCACTTTTTGTCCCATATCTTAGGAACGGCAAGACCTGCCTTCGCCAAAAACTAATCAGCAAGTCTCCTTATCAATACGAATCGAATGTTTTTTGAATTATTTAAATCGCTTCTTCCGTGTTCCCGAAATCGTCGACGAAAATTTGTATCCGCACACACATACATTCATTTTTTCTAAGGTAGGCCAAAATATTCAGAAACCTTTGAAACGTAAAGATATATAAAAATTTTCATTCTTGATTTTTTTGCGATTACTATAACTTGCCCTAGGGGAAGTAAATTAATCTAAAAATCAAACATAACCCAAAAACAACCTAATCATGGATTCTCAGAGTTGTACTTGATAGTTTTACAGAATTAAACTATGGGCAGTGGTGTTGTCGAGCCGGAACG